AAAACACCTGAACTGTATACATGGACAAGGAAATTATTTTACGGAATAATTTGCAAGGCTACACTGACCCCTTGAACTGCTCCCCACTTCTCTGTAAGTTGTATCCATACCGTCTACGGGAAGCAGTTTTTCATGGCATCCTTATCCTGATGATAAATCATAAACTGCAGAGAAACTGTATCACACAGTGCTTTGGTCATTTAAAAATGCCTATGCAAAGATAGGGAGGTAATAACCCTCAAACCAGTAAATATCTCCACTGCTCATTTTGTATCACCAACAGTTATAGTGCAAATATGCACAACCTTGCGCTAAAGATCACTATCACTCCCCAAAGAAGAAAGCTAAGGTTGCAAATCTGTGGGGGTCAAGGCCTACAGAGTTTGCTCACACCTGCAGCCCTATTTCACCAACGATAACATTTCCGTAAATCCAATCATCCACCAATTCAGGTGAACTTTTGCGTTCTAAAAGCAAACACGGACTATTTAAACTAGGACAAATTAACTTTTCAGAGCCAAAGCTTTCTTTAGGCGACTGATCTTAAAAGCCTGTGCATTTATTCAGAGTTAGGAAAAATTGTGGCAATAAATCCATTCTGCTCTTGTTAAAGGCAATCCATTTCCCTTCAGAATCTTTTTACATATCATTTTCATAACAAGTGCTTATTAAAACACAAACTTTGCTAAAGCAAAACAGACGCATAGAGAGACTTTCAAAAGGTAAGTGCAGGATAAAAATATGGTTTGTCTATGTAGGAAACATAAGGCTGCATTCACAAAACCTGACAAATACTTTTAATATTTTCATCGGGGCTTTTTGATATTAATGCAAGTAGGGAGGTAAGCACAAAAAAGGGGGGGGGAAGGGAGAACTATACAAGGCGGATTTAGATCACACGTTATGAAAACGCCAGACCTTGGGATCAAAGCCTAAAATGATAGTTTGTACTAAGTAGACAGAAATCATGGCACAAAAAATTGAAGTCGTTACATTACGAACACTGCAAGTATCTTTCGAAATGAGATTAACACTGACAATTTTCCAACGAAGACAAAGAAGGGATAAAATCACCGCGGTGAAATGCTTTCGTAAAAGATATATTTTGGCAGCGCCAAGTTCTGTATTTGAATCAAACCTTTCAGTTTGTGTCAGAATTTTCATAACGCCCAAAAGCTGAACACTTTTTTTGTCCCATTACATTGAAAGTACTTTATCAATGTACTACCTACTTTATCACTGGAGAGAAAGGGGGAGGAACAGCAAATGGTATTTTTATTGGAATAGTTTCTAAAATTGGAAGACTTGGATTAGATATGACTGTTCTGACAAACCCAGAAGATAATCTGGAAAAAAACAACTATTCAGTCATCAAGCATTATATATTCTCTTAAATTTCCATTTAGGAACAAAATGTTTCAATCCAGTTTACACACTAAATCAATGGGCGCAATGCAGAAATGCCTAATCTTTTCCATGTTCGCAGCTTTCAAGCATCTTTTCCTATCCAATCAGGAGAATCCTTACAACTTTGTGCCATTTTCATTTTGTTTTGTCCTGCGTGTGCCTCTTGTCTAACTTCACAAAACCTGTAAAAATCAATATCGTTTGGAATGAATAAGCACAAGAACCCTGAAGCATTGACGTACCTTAAAGCTTTCCAAACACATTAATTCAATTTATGCCAAACCACAATTATGGACTTAATAAAATGATATAATCCCTTCTCCCATAAACAGAAAAAGTGGGGTAGAGTAAGACTTGCAGGCACTTTGGATTGACACCTTTTCAAAATTTAACAAGCCACACACGTTGCTTTACTCTGAAGCAGGGGTGTCAAACTCGTGACATGTCACCACGTGATGTATCACAACTTTTTTCCCCTTCGCTAAAACAGGGGTGAGGGTGGCCGTTGTGTGATGCATCTGGCCCGCGGCCCACGAGTTTGACATCCTTGCTCTAAAGCAGTGATTTTTCAAATGTGGCAACTTTAAAATATATGAACTTCAACTCCCAGAATTCCCCAGCCTGCCTCTTAAAGTTGCCAAGATTAAAAAACACTGCTGTAAAGATTCCCGACACCACAGGAAGAAGACCAACAAATGCACTAAATTATTATGAAAGTTCAAGACAAAAGGAGGTCTTTTTATGGTTGCATACAAAGGAAATCCATGTCCAGGAAATGGATTTGATTGCGCTGGATGTTTCTAGCAAACATCAGGCCACCATTTATCTGGGTTGGATTATGACATCACCTAGGGAGTTGAACTTTATGGTACATATGGATTCTCCATACTTTCTTCTGCTGGAAGCATTAATCAAAGTTTGGGATTTAAATGTTGGTTAGCCAACAGCTGAGTTCCTATACACTAAGCCAAAATCTAACAAACCACATAATGATTTAGTGTGAGACCTTCACTGTTTGTTGTCTCCTTCCAGTACATGTTTCAAAAATGGTTTGGTTTGATGGATTAACGACCTCATCAAATTTCCCCAGAAAAGGTAGGCATACATTCTGAATTATTCTGTTTCCACTGAAATAAATGTCACTGTTTATTAGCTATATTCCCCCTAAGCAATTTATTTTGCAGAATGGCTGATGGACAAGACTCTTTTAACTAAACCACTGTTATTGCAGCTTCGTTATTATTAATTCCAAAGAAAGTAGAATTGTTCCGTTGCAGTTCTATAGCTGACATTACTCTATGGTTTAGAGATGTACATTTATCATTTTAACAGGTTTTTTTTCCATTTTAGTGAAGGTGACAGCAGCAAAGGATGTATTTGGGGAAAAAACCCAGAATATTTTTTTAAATTCAAAAAATGCATTGGTGATACGAGCACAACTCCTCCTCTTAGTCACTATTTTCTCTAATAAATAGCTCCATTTTTAAAAACGTGCACAAAATTATGATCTCTTACAGGAATAGATCTAGGGCAAGAAACTGAATTTTAATATTTGGAATTGTCTGCAGCCTTGTTACTAATGCCTTCTCTACTGGAGATCAGCTAGGTCCATTGCTGTTATCTACATGGCACCACTTTAGATCTCATTCTCTGCATTTCAGAGTGTTGTGTGGTATGTTTTGTAAACTCTGTTTTTAATACCTAGATTGTTTTACTGTGATATTACCTTGGGGTTTATTGTATGTCTCTCTGCCTACGATGATGATTTTCTTAGGAAACACTTTGAATACATGAATCATACCAGCTTCTTCCCCCTCAATAAAAAGTAGAGGAAATGGCAGTATTTTTTTTCCTTTTAAAATCCCACATTTGGAAGTAGACGTGTTATGAGTTCAAAAACCTCTATCTTATTCCTTTCCAAATCTAACTTTTACACTGGGTTCCCACTTTTTGAGAAACGTTCTGCAGGAGAGCAATCCCTTTCCATCCCATTTTGACACCAGGGCAATCTGTACTTGTACTATTATACTCCTTCCTCTTACCCGACAGGCAGAACACAACCATAAATAACTCCATGGAAAGAAAAAAAAAGTCAGTATAAATTAGCATGGGAACCCTGCAGATTCAAAAGGTCGGCAACGTTTGTGTGGAAAGCTGGGAAGAAGAGGAAAACAAAGTCAAAGAGAACTCCAGCAGTCCTGCAAATGCTTCACTCCGACAAACCCTCCAAATTCATTCATGGTTGTAGACAGAAATTCTAAGAAAGGAACACTGGGTGATTGCAAACAGCCTTGAAAAGGGACAGTCCAACTATCTGCTAGTTTTGTTCTCTCCCTCCCTCTCTGTTTCCTTATTCCCACTTTCCTTCTGCTCTTCTTCCTAAGCCAACAGGACACTGAAAAACTATCCCATGGCCACTTCTACAGATCAATTAGTTCTTGATGCTTACTTCCTCCAGGAAAAACAGATGAGAGATAGACTTAAATGGGAGTTTGGGCCCAAGTGAACACAACTAATCAGTCCCAACTGCAAGAAGTCTCCAAACTTGTGTGCGGTTAAACACTTGTGGTTCCAGAAGGACAGTATCTGTTTGTATTTTACCAAAAAAAAAAAAAAAAAAAAACCCCACGGATCCAAAAAAACAGTTGCTCCATGTTAAAACAACATTGTGATTTAAGGAAGGGGAGGGAGGGGGCGAAACAAACTCAGCAGCTACCTAACTCAGAGAGATAGCCAACTCTGGAAGTTGGCTTTGCAGCCACCTCCCCATCCGGAGGTAGCCGTTGGACAAAAGCTGTTTTGAATATGACCGAAATGTCCTTGCGGAGCAACCCAAAGCATAACACAAGGCAGCTCTAAGGGCTGGGGAGGAGAAAATAGGTCACTCATCCAATCAAATTTAAGACCTTTTGTTTTCAAAGCTTCTTTCTTCCCCCTTTTTATTTCTCCCTCTCTCTAAAGCTTCGGACCCTCCTCTCCCCAACCAAAAAGCGAGTGAATTAATGAACTAGCCCTATTCACAAGTTATGCCCAAAGGAGGGGGGGGGGGGGAACGGGACAAGAGAAAGGATGAGCAGCCATTTCTCTTTTGCACCAAGAACAACAAACACGATTTCTACATTCATCACTCTCCCCCACCCACCCAAAAAGGACAGAAAGAAAAGCACACCACACTCAACTTCAAACCCTTATAGCTTTGTCAATACACCGCAGCTGCTCAGCGTTAACAATATTCTGTTACTACTCTCGGAGGAGGAAACACCCACCACTCCGAAAAGACTTGTTGTTTTTTAAACCAGCCGATGCCAAACAACACATGGCCCATAAGGAGTTGATTACACCTGGAATAATACTTTGTTCACAACTCTCTGGCGTTTGTCACCGGTCTTAAGATACACAAGGCATGTCATGTCAACCTTTAAGGAAGAAGAAAATCCCCTCCCATTTCAGCTCTCTTTCTCTCCTCCCCCCCACAATCTCCCCTTCAACCTTGCCTCCCCCCCCCCGTCCCGCAACCCCCCATCTGCTCTAACCAGGCAACTAATGCAACTCACAGCATGCCTTAAAATTCATTATTGATTATTCTTTCTTACCTTAGGTTGAGCTCTTCGGGGAAATGCAACTTTGGGGTCAATCTGCGGGATGGGTGAGGGGGGGATGGAGAGGGGGGGTGGGGAGAAATGGAAAACAAGATCATTTGCATGTTTTCTTCAGAAAGGCAAAAATAAAAATCCTACAACTGAAAGATTGCACCCAATCGTTAATCCTTCATTTCTCAGGTACGAGATTTCTTTCAGGATTAAAGTAGCAGGGAAAATCGTAACACGCAGAAGAGAAAGGAAAGCAGCATGTTCAATGACTTAACTGTTGGGAACTTTTAAAAGTCTCCTTCCTCTTTCCTTCTTCAAACTGGGGCTAATGAGATCCCGAATGTCCGACACAATCTGTATTATTACAGGTATTTTAAAAATATGAACATTTTGGAAGGGGGGCCATTCAGCCCATGTGTGTTTATTTTCTTATCTGCTGTTAACGCCTCCACAGTTTAAGAGACCTATTTTAAATAGCAACTGCCACTTTTAGGGAAGTTTTTTATGCTGCCAAAAAAAAAAAAAGGGTGAATGATTGGATCTGATTTTTGCATTTCATGGTTAAGCTGTAATGGAGAGACAAGACATGATCTTGAGACACTAAGTTTGCATGTTTAGATTTGACCACATGTAAATAGATTTATTTCCTTTCTTTAAAAAAAATTCACCTGAAGGCAATTGAGGTTTTTTTTGTTTTTTTTTAAATAGACTAAAGGAATTTAAGGAGAGAATTTTTTTCTAAGCTAACGTCCAATCCAAAGAAACCTAAGAATAAAATCCTATCATTCTAAAGCTACAAATGTATAGCTACCACTTTACCAAAAAAAAATGACTTGCCAATAATACATTGAAAAAGGTTAATAGAACTCCAAATCTTCTCAATCAAAAACCCTCTTAACAAATAGGAAGCCCTGTGAATTATAAATCTGCTTCACCTCAAATTCTCAGTCTTAATGCTATTTGGTTCCAAACGCTGGCTAAAATATATTGAAAGGAAAAGTGCAAATAATTTCATTAGATTCTCTTAAGTAGCAATTTGCAGAAAGGGGGTAAAATTGGGTTAAGCAGAAGTAGGAATTCTCTCAGCCCTCCATAAATTCATAGAATTAACTTTATACCCTATAAGCATGTTAATATTTTAGATAGGAATTTTACTTTTCATAGTATCAGCATCTTCGTCAATGAAAAGGATAGAGCTGTTCCAGCCAAAATAAAAGGGAATGTTAGAAGTTGTTTCCGAGACAATCCTATATATCTCTAATAATTGAGCAAGTCCATAAGTTTGACCCTAAGTTGCAGTTTGGGGGGTGGGGGGGAATTAACAACCCTTTTGCCGGCTGTTAACTGCCAACTTCTAAACTTTTGTTTTTGTCTGGAAAAAGTGTCTTAACCAAACTTTTGCTACAAAGGGTTGGGTTGTTTTTTTTAAAAGTGCCTTTGGCAGGTAAAAGAAAACCTTTGTTACTTGCATAGGAGATACTATATTCAAAGAGCTATCATTTCACCCACAAATAAATCTTAGCCTGCACATCAGGAAGGCCATTTCGCTTGTAATGAAGTTTTTAGAAAGAAAAGCCACGTACCTGAGAAGTGATTGATTACATGCTACTGTTAACAGCTCATCAAGCATACACAGAAAACTCACAAAACTTTTGTCTAGAAAGCTACCCCCTTTCCTAGAGATTAATATCCATCTACATATATTCTCAAACACCAGCTAGGATATTTGGCTACCAGAGAAATACAACAGGTGTAGATTTCCCACTGTCCAAAATATTAGAAATGAGGCTGAGGGGTGGCAAATAATCATCATACAGCTGCCATATTAACTCCCCCTTAAAAGTTTTAGCTGTTACTTTAAAAAAGAAAAAGAGAGACACAAGATGAACGCAGCAATTTTCCAGAAATTTACCCCAGGAAGAATGGGTATTATCTGACAAATGGGCACCTTTTCAAAACTGGAAGGAACTCCCCACCTTGCAAGCCCGGCGAACCCATTCAGCGTTTCTATACCTGTTGTGCATCCCTGTAAGCTATTTAAAGAACAGCCAACAGAAAAAAAAGAGGCTACTAAAAATAAAATTAGTTAGTTAGGTACAATGCTACTTACTGTATCTACAAATCCTCTAGGAAATAACTAATAATAAGATACTGATGGCCATTACCTAAACCAAGCGTCTAATGTAACCGTAAACAAGAGCAGGCAACTTCCGTGTCAATAGCAAACCAAGTCGTTTCCTGTGCTCAGCGTTGGAACAGAGTCAAATGCTAGCAATACTAAAGGACAAGAAACTATCAGAGCTATAACAAGGCAACAAAAAAAAGTTATCTTTATGTTTTGGCTGTTGTTGTTGTTTTTAAACAGTGATGAGAAATCCATTTTGGGGACAAACCACTCAGAGGCGTTTGGTCCCACATCCAAAATCAAAGCAATGCCATTTCATCTGGCTGGCATCATAGTAGGATAGGAAGTTTTTTATAAGGATTCCCAAGCTTCCCACTTTCAACTCCCAAAAGTGACCAGGGTAGCCAACTTGGGATGTACAAACCAGGGTTTGCTCGCGCAGCTTGCTAACCTCTCCTGGGGGCACCTTCTGCTCTGTTGTTCATTTTATAGCATAGTATAAATACATTAGAAACAAGCTTCATCCTTTGGTTTCATCTCTAAGTTCTCCCTACCATCCACCCACACCCACTGGCAGTGCCCAAAAACAAACAGCCATAAATATCTTCCAATAAGTATATTTTCTTGGAGCAGTACATTTAATAAGTTACCTATCTATATTTGTATTAAACTATTTTAAAGTTGATTTCTCAGGATCACTCCTGGATTAGATGGAGGCTTTCTCTCCCCCCTCCCCGAAATAATTGGGGAATGTTTAAAACATGAGTCACATGCTCAGACAAGCCCAACAGGACACATACCCAAAGTTATTAGAATTTGAAGGGAGGACAATAAAGCAAAGCTTCACTTAAGGACGCTTTGAGACATAATCATCTCATTTATTTTAAAAGAGATTCATATAAAGCAAGGCTGGGTAACCTTAACACCATAATTTCTTGGTTTAAAGGATAATTTTTCACACTTCCCTGCAAATCAAAGTGTGGTAATGAGGAAACCATAACCATCCTGAAACTAAATAAAAACGAGCTTCTGCTCACAGTTTAAGAGACAGATTACTTTTTATTGCTGTCTCTTTTAAGTTACGGAATTAAAGTCCCAACTAATTAAACTGGCCAAATTACAAACTTCCTTTCTGATGCTACAGAAGAGTTAGGATATCATGCAGAAATGGAAATTTAGTGGCAGGAAGGTGGGAGCACCAGATGATTAATGCCCCCTTAAACCAAAATAGTGGTTTTGCAATAGAAAAACTTGGGATATGATTTGGAAAGGAACAGAAACCTTGATCTAATGACAGTGTTGCAATTTTCCTTTGAAAGGTAGCACTTCTCACTTGTTGCAACCTCTCAAAATGCCCTTTTCTGTTAGGCTAGGGAAAAAAATAATAACTTCCTTGGTATTCCAGAAAGGAAGACTAAGGAAAATAATACTCTCAAAGTTTCTGTGACCGAAAATTGCCCTGCTTTTAAAAAAAGATAAAGCAGCATCTTTCTAATCTATCAAAAGAAGCTTCTCCAATTACTGTATTCCCTTCCACTCACGGAATCTGGATAGAGTGCATGTTTTTTGCAAACTAAATAGTTGAAGCAGAAGGACAAATAAATAAATAGAATCAAACCGAACTGCCTGGCCAACTAGTTAATATTTTCAGCAAGGATGATTTCTTTTCTTTACAATATATAATGGGAACATGAGCTTCCAGATCTTGCAAGGTAGCCCAGCGTTTCTTTACACAATTATTACAGCATTAATAACCTATCACAATACCCCTTCGAACAGACCCAGCCAAAAAGGACGCTGTCTCTTTAAATAAGCCTGTCACATTCATAATATTGCAGGAAATAATGGAGACATTAAACACACACACACACACACACACCAATATCACATTGTGTAACATACCGTCTTGGAATCTAATTCATGATGAGCTTGAGCTAATACTTTATCAACACTTGCAGGATCAGCAAATGTAACGAAACCAAACCCCCTGAAATAGGACAAAGAAGAGCTGATGGGGAAAAGGCACAGAAAATACTAAGAAAAGACAATAAATACATTAAGACACTCAATAAGACACATCCTAGAATATCATATTGTTCAGAGTCAAACCATCAGTCTTTGTCAGAAAATAGATTAGAGTTAAGGTGGATTATTTAAAAAAAAAAACTTATGCATGCTTCAAAATTTAACTCCTTTTCCACCTTTCAATGCACGCATAGAAAATCTTGCCATCTTCAGTTCATGCTTTGTTTAACCCAAAAGTAGAAAGCTGTGGGATTGGCTCTCTCTCTCTTTAAAAAAAAAATACTTTGGTTAGCGGACCAAACAGTTAGAAACAAGTTTCTGAAAATGAGACTCTCTGAAAGCCTATTTAATTTAACAGGTTTCCACCAGCAGAAAACATACATTTTCCTTCTGATTTCAACCTCTATATTTAAGACACCAGAGTCGCAAAGACATAAGGAGCCCAGCTTCGAAGTTTTTGAGCCGCCAAAAAGCCAAAGGTTTTTTAACTGCTTAATGTGCCTTAAAGAACTGCTAACACTTGTTCTAAGCACACAGACCGTGCAAGCCTTTCCATATTTAAAAAAAAAAAAATCACAGGAAAGAAAACTTTGATTTTTTTTTTAAAAAAAGAGGACAAACGGTTTTACCTGGAGCGTTTTGTTGTCGGGTCCCGCATGACCATACATTCCCTAATGTCTCCAAATTTGCTAAAATAATCTCTGAGATTATCTGCGGAACAGAAAAAAAGGGAGCAGAGAGAGGGGAAAACGGGGATGAGAAGGAGAGAGAGAAGAAAACAGAAGCAAGTGTTTAAAAAATATCTGCATTATTTAAAAAAAAAAAATCAGCCCCTTCAAGAAAGCGAGCAACATTTGATTTTTTTTTTCCTCCCCTTCAGAGCAGAAAGAGGGGTGGGGGGGGACAAATGGATGACCTGAACATTTCAAAAGGAAAATCTTTTTTATTCCCTTCCCGCGCCCCCCCTCCCCTCCCTCGAGCCTACCACCCCTCAAAAGTGCGCACACACAAATTTAAGGTCGAATAGAGGACTTGGGGAGAGAGAAGTGTTATTTGGAGCACATAAAGGATCCCACCAGCTTACTCTGGTGCAGGGTTTTGTTTTTTTTTACTTGTGGGAAAGAGTTGGGGGGGGTAAGGAAGGGGGGGTAAGGAAAGCACCCAATGAAACTGACCTGGGATAACAACAAAGGCTCTATCAAAGGAGGCTGGGCTAGGCAAGACCCAGAGGGAGTGGGAGATGGGGCTGCCCCCCATCCAGCACACACACACACACTCACACTCACACACACTCACACCCGGCTTACCTGGGGAGGTCTGCCAACTCAGGCCGCCAATAAACATTTTACTGGAAGAAGAAAACAGAACAGAGTTAAGCAGAGATGTCAGATCGGCCATTTTGACGTGTAACTTACAAAAGCTAAANCTGAGCTTGGTTGTTTTCTTGCAGATGTTTCATTACCCAACTATGTAACATCATCAATGCTAGAAGGGAAGGAGATTTGTGAAGGAGGAAAAGGACTATGGGATCCCTGGTGCTTTCTGAGGTTGGTGTGGGTTGTTTTTTTTTGTTGTTGTTGTTGTTGCAGACATTTCATAACCCAACTAGGGAACATCATCAGTGCTAGAAAGAAGTGAAGTTGCCTCTCTGACAATCAAGCAGTAAACAGAGTTACAATTAAGGGACTCCCAGCTCAGACAAACAAACACTAAACAATAGCTTAGTCTAGGAATCACCAAGAACACTCCCACTGACACTTGCACATAAACAGGGAGCAAACCCCACTCCCTTCTAGCACTGGTGATGTTCCCTAGCTGGGTCATGAAACGTCTGCAAGGAAACCACCAAGCTCAGAGAGCAACCACAGTTCAACCCTGGGCTGCAGGTGCTCTCTTCTCTTGCTAGTTGGATCCTAATTTGTATCATCGCTCCGCACTGGTAACAGGACGTTGCTCCTTGCTTTCTAAGGAAACCTGGGTCAGAACACCTGTGCAGGTAATCCCTCTGTCTGTGTCCTCTTTCTCCAGCTCTTCTCAGGCTAAGCCACCCCTGCGCCGACTACAATGGGGCTCTGCAAATGTCCCAAGAGGAAGGTCACCAACCTCTTCTGCTTTGAGCACCGGGTGAACGTGTGCGAGAACTGCATTGTCGCTAACCACGCCAAGGTAAATGGGAATAGCACAGGGAAGGCAGATGCTTTGAAACAAAAGAAATCAGAAGGGTGGGTGCCTGGGTACAAGCAGGGTATGAAACCACCCGCAGTCAACGTATATGAAAGGACCTAAGACAGGGAGCGGCAATCTGCGGCTCCGGAGCCGCATGTGGCTTTTTCATCCCTCTGCTGCAGCTCCCCGTCGCTCAAAATACGCAGTGTGCGACACCCGCCGACAGGCAATTTATTGAGCTTTTCGACCCCCAGTAGGCCAACCATGGATAAATCCAAGTAAAGTTTCAGAAGAAAACAGAATGTTTAATTCAACTACGTAATGCTAGTTTTGTGGCCGCTCAGGAAATAAGTCAGGGTTTTGTGGCTCCCCGTGTTTTCTTTTCTGTGGGAAACAGGACCAAATGGCTCTTTGAATGTTTAAGATAGCAATACCTCTTAGACCTATAGAGGGCTTCACGGTGCTTTCCAGCCCTCTAAGGAAGGAAGGAAGGAAGGAAAATAGCAATAGCAGATTTATACAGTGCTTTACAGTGCTTTGCGGCCCTCTCTAAGGAAGGAAGGAGGAGGGAGGGAGGGAGGGAGGGAGGAAAATAGCAATAGCACTTAGATTTATACAGTGCTTTACAGTGCTTTACAGTGCTTTGCGGCCCTCTCTAAGGAAGGAGGGAGGGAGGAAAATAGCAATAGCACTTAGATTTATACAGTGCTTTACAGTGCTTTACAGTGCTTTGCGGCCCTCTCTAAGGAAGGAAGGAGGAGGGAGGGAGGAAGGGAAATAGCAATAGTACTTAGATTTATACAGTGCTTTACAGTGCTTTGCGGCCCTCTCTAAGGAGGGAGGGAGGGGGGATGGAAGGAAGATAGCAATAGCACTTAAGACATATACATTGCTTCATGGTGCTTTCTAGCCCTCTTTAAGTGGTTTTCAAAGTCCGCATTTTTGCTCCCAACAATCTGGGTTCTCATTTTACCCACCTTGGAAGGACAGAAGGCTGAGTCAACCTTGAGCCGGTCAGGATCGAATGCGAAGGAAGGAAGGAAAGAGGGAATAGGAGGGAGAGGAAGGAAAGAAAATCGCAATAGCCCTTAGACTTATATCCCGCTTCACTGTGCTTTTACAGCCCTCTCTAAGCGGTTTACAGAGTCAGCCTCTTGTCCCCCAACAATCTGGGTCCTCATTTTATCGACTTCAGAAGGACAGAAGGCTGAGTCAACTAGAATCAGAACAAGATGCATACTAATTTTGTGTTAGGTCTTGATTGTTACAAATCGCCTTAAAAACTGAAATAAAAGGCTGTTTCCATTCTTTAACATGAACAGGCTCCCCTCCCTCTCAATTTCCACCTGCTGCGTTTGGCAACCATTGTTTTATTTATTTCCCCCCTGTTTTTCCTCCCCCCCAGTGCATCGTCCAGTCCTACCTACAGTGGCTGCAAGACAGCGATTACAATCCCAACTGCCGGTTGTGCAATGCGTTACTTTCCAACAAAGAGACGGTTCGGCTTGTATGTTACGGTCAGTAGAAACTCTCTGGGCCTTGTGCCAGAGAGGCTTCCCCTCCTGTGGCTCCCCAAAACGCCCTCTGGGACAGGGGATTCATCAACCTAAGAATGTCCCAAAGGTCCTTTTTTTTCCCCAAAAGGCAACTGGAGTTTCTGATTTTTCTTTGGAGACGTTTGGCTTCCCGTCCAAGAAGCTTCTTCAGCTCTGACTGGATGGTGGGGAAGGAAAGGATTTATATTCCTTGCAGGCAGCTGGTCGTTTGCATTCTTTTTAGAGGGTCGTTGAGGCCACTTGGAGGTTTCTCTGTGTCCCATGAATGGTGCAAATGGGTGTGGGGGCTTCTTGGAACGGCTGAAAAGACTGTGTTGCAGACTGGAGATAGATGATGTCGTATCCTTCTCTCTCCTGTTGAGAGAGAGCTGTTCAATTTTGACACAGATGGCCTCTTTGACCCCTCTTTCAAACCAGCGGTCCTCTCTGTCCAAAATGTGAACTTTGCCGTCTTCAAAAGAGCGGCCTTTGTCTCTTAAATGCAGACGGACTGCTGACTCTTGTCCTGATGGTTTTGTTCTTCTATGTTGTGCCATGTGTTTGTGAAGTGGCTGTTTTGTTTCCCCAATGTTCACCATCTTATCTCCAGTCTAAAGATATAAAGTGGCAGTTGGAATAGAGTTCTTTTCAGATGGGGAGGGGGAGTAGAACATCTAGCGCCTTAGCATCAGAGTGTGTTAATAATATGGCTGTCAACTTGAAAAGTGTTCCGTGACTATTATCAAGTTGACATAAAAAAGAGAGAAAAGGGAGGAGAATGCCATGCATACCTTTGGCCAGAGTCAAACGTGTGAAATGCGCACGTTCATAGCTGGCCGCAGCACCTTGTTGGTGGATGTGATTTATGACACAGACAGAAGGGAGGGGATTCAGGGGTAAAGTTCAGACACCATTACAGCGGTAATCAGTTTCGGCTCTGCAGAAGAACATGCCGAAATGTTGATCCTAATAAATGAATGGATTTCTTTTGAACTTTGTCTCGGGGCTCGTAAATTAATTAGGTCATCTTTTGGAAACTTCACAATGATAAGAAATGCTAATGATCTGATTGGCATTTTGAAAAATCCTTTCTTAGCGAGCACCTAGAAGCCAAGAGGAACATACGTGCCGAATTTCAAGTTTGTAAGCGTTACAGTTCTGGAGATTTGGTGATGAGTGTGTGGTATTTGCCTTTTATAGATATAGATTTTAAAAAAAATAAACAAGTCCAGTTGCCTTATGGAAAAGCACCTTTGGGGCAACCACAACCAGAATGACGGAGTATCTCCTTTGCACAGCCCCTCCAAGGTCGGACTTTGCTTTAACGTCTCCTCTTCTCCCCAGACCTCTTCCATTGGTCCTGCCTCAATGAGATGGCCAACCAGCTGCCGCAGAACACGGCCCCCGCTGGCTACCAGTGTCCCTCGTGCCAGGGCCCCATCTTCCCTCCCACCAACTTGGTCAGCCCGGTTGCCTCTGCCCTCCGAGAGAAGCTCTCGACCGTCAACTGGGCTCGGGCCGGACTCCGGCTTCCCCTGGTAAGAAATGGAGTCCTGCCATATCGCTGAGCTGCTTCCTGAGCCATTTTTTCACAGCGCCAGGTTGAGTTAAACCTTTAATCCCCTTTGAAACGAATCCAGATTGTTGTCGATTTTTTCCTTCCCCCGCCAGCGATTGAGAGCGCCTCAGGAAAAATGACGGGCTGATCTCTGTTAAAAGCAGAGATTGAGGTTCAAGACCCAAGTTTCCCAGCCTTTGATTTTGTCCATTAAAAAAAAAAAAAGTAGCTCATTTTGTTTAAAAAGGTAATCCCCACAGACAACCTCCCTATTATTACTGTATTTTTCAGAGTATAAGATGCACCCCCCCCCCAAAAAAAAAGAGGGTGAAAATTTGGTTGGGTCTTATACACAGAAAACACCATTTTTGGCCTCCCGAAACCTCGCCACCTTTGCAAAAATGGACACGCATAGGCTTTGGGAGGCTTGTAGAGTGCTCCTGGGGGGCTGAGGAGGGCAATAA